ATGCAGTGTATTATTTGTTGAAACTGTACTTTCGATTAGATTTGAAACTGTCTCATTGCTATCTGTTTATCAATAAAACTTTGAAAAAAAAATAAAAAAATAAAAAGACATTCCATTTTTGAACCTCTGCGTAAATCAATGATTTTTAAAGAAGATTGCCTCCTTTCAAAAAGTATATAATAACCAACCATCTGGGAGGCACGGCATGCATTTTCCTTATATCACAGCAATATCTTCACCCCTCTATCCTTTGGTGTAAGAATTATTGATGTTATAACTCATTATTATTGATGGAAGAAGGCTGGAAAATTCAGTTAGATGTGGGCAATTAACATAACAGTTCCTGACTATGACAGTTCTAAAAAATGCCACAACTCAATAAAGCTTAATTTCACAAATGTAATGATGAGGTTAACAAAAGAAGAAAATCTAATGACAGGATTACTCGGATATAAAAAGAAAAAAATAAAAATAAGTTCTAATGGGTAGAAAGAAAATGGGTAGCCAAACAGAAAAATAAAACGTCCTCGTTTTTCAGTCTCCAATCACGGAAAGTGAGCAAGGATAAAAAGGACTCTTGAACAGAACAACTACACCTAACCTGGTCAAATTTAACTTCCAGCCAACTTCTTATAAGTTGGACCATTTAGTGGAAAAATCATTAAAAAAAACCCCAAAACCCAAAAAACAGAAAACCCCCACAAATATCCTAAGGAGAAAAGTAAAGATAGACATATCTACTTTTACAAACTGCCTAAGAAGCACACCAGAAAATGACATTTTTAAATGGAAGTCACCGTCTTGGCTTGGAAATAAGCTACCTAACTCCACTTAGATTATTTGGCTCAATGTTCTCAATTCTGCTGCAAAATTAAGATAACCAGTGTAACTTTTAAAAATGGTTTAGCTTCAACCTCATGGCTTTGTTCTTAGGCTCAAGTATTGAGAGTAATTTGTAAAACGGTACTAACGTGGAACTAATTATGCAGCTAGAGCTGAAAATCATTATGAGTTTAGGAGTAGCCAGTGAATACTTCACTGGTAGCACATCACTGACCGCTCTGGGTGAGCTTCTGACAGAAACTGATGCTAACAGCCCAGCAAGAGCTAGAGACCTGACTAACAGCTGTTGTGGTTTGGACATTAGGGGCCTCCTAAGGCTCCTATGTTGCAGGTGTGGTCACCAGCTTGTGGTATGCCTGGGAGATGGTGAAGTCAAGGAGAAGTAAGGCTGCTAGGAACACCCCCTGAGGGGCATGGTGGGGCCCTGGCCCTTTCCTGTCTCTCCATATGATTTCCAGCAGCCACGTGAACAGCTTCCTTCACCAACAAGCTCTAGCTGCAACAGTGTTCTCATAACAGGCCCAAAGCAACACGGAAAATGAACCAGACTTAAATCTTAAAATTATGATGAAATTTCATCCCTATAAATTGAATTTTCTCAGGTATTTTGTCATAATAATAGAAAGGAATAGCCTTTCTAACCTAAGTGCGTCTTGCCAAACAATCACAGCATTCTAACTCCAGCCATGTTCTATATGTGGCATGGGTCCAATTTTACTGGTCATAAGCAACACCATTTTCCTAACAGTATAAAAGAAAGAGCTACTGCCAAGCATCATGGTGCATGCCTGTAATCCCAGCACTTGTGATGCTGAGGCAGGACAGCTGTGAGTCTGAGACCAGGCTGGACTACAAAGTAAGCACGAGGCCAGCCTGAACTGCATAGCGAGACCCTATCTCAAAAAGACCAAAAAGAAAGGGCTTTAATAATCTCATGTTCCTTGTCCTTCCTCAATTAATATGGAGTAGAGCTGGAGTTCTCTTTCCAGAAGTGTGCTTGTGACTGGAGTCAAGAGGAAAAAGGTTCTGAGTTTTCCGGTAGCTATGGTTCAAACACCACACTGAGGTGGTTCATAGTGGTTGCAGGTGTTGTATGTCCTGCCTGTGCCAGATGTGATCCACAGATAAGGAGGAGCTCCAGCATCCCTGGAAGGTGTTAGAAAGGCAGATTCCCAGGTCCTGCCCTAGCCTAATAAGATCAAGATGTCTCTTGTATCAGTACAAGATCTCTAGGAGGTTCACATACACATTATAGTTTGTTTTGAAAGTGCTATTGTGAGGCAAGAATGCATTAAGAAATGGCACTTGTAGCTAGGCATAGATGCCTGTATATCTGTATTCTCAGCATTACAGGATGCTGAGATAGGAGGGACAGCTTCCTGAGGAGGGACACTTCCCAGCAGGGGCAACGTAGTGAGACTGAGTCTCAAAATATAAAAAAGGGCTAGGAGGGCTGGTGAGATAGCTTAGTGGACTAAGTGCCTGTTTAGGCAAGCACAGGGACCAGGGTTTGATCCCCAGCACCCCGGCACCCCACATGCCATGCTGGCCCTAGCTCCAGGCACGATGAACCAGGACTGGGCCTGGTGGTGCACACCTGTATTCCCAGCGCTGGGGAGGCTGAAAACAGGAGGATCACTACAGTCTGAGCTGCATAGTGAGACCCAGTACCAAATACAGGAAGGAAGGAAGGAAGGAAAGAAGGAGAAGAGAGGAGAGGAGAGGAGAGGAGAGGAGAGGAGAGGAGAAGAGAAGAGAAGAGAAGAGAAGAGAAGAGAAGAGAAGAGAAGAGAAGAGAAGAGAAGAAGAAAAAAGGGCTGGTAATGCAGCTTAGTACAAAGGCCTGCAGTTCAATGCCTAGTACAGGGGAGAAAATGACATCATAGATGAAGACAACTTTGAAGATTATTTTCCCCTTTAAAACAGACAATTAGTATAAGAATAAAAGCATTTTAATAGTAGCATGGTCTTCTGCTGCCATAGAAACTCATCTTTCACACAGCAGATTTAAGCCTGCTTGTGATGTTCTCAGAAAAAGGATCCTAGTTCTCTGAGTGAATACAAATTTAAATATAGGCAGATCCAAAGCAAAAATAAGGGCTTGTACTCATTTTGATTTCTGTGACAAAGTGTATCTCAGAGCTAGCTAAAAAATTTTACTGCAAAAACCTGCTGGTGCTATAAAATCTCAAAGTGAGGAAAAGCTCATGTTTGGTTACACAGGAAAATTACTGGACTTATCTAGCAAAGACTACATAATGTATAAATTTTAAAAATCCAAATTTGAAAACCAACTTATTTTTTCACCCCAAAAAGAATATCCTTTACAAAAAAGAAGGTGAGGGCAAAAACGGGGGGGAGAGGAGGGAGAAGAATAAATTTCATGTACAACTCTGGCTACTACAACCCAAGTTAGTTCTAAAAACTTTTCTATCTGAAGCTACACATGCAGAAATTCTAACGGACAACTGGAAGTTAATATACAGTGAGAAAACTCTAGTTTGGGGCGCTGACAAGAGCTAAAACAGTCAAATGGAAATAACATTCTTTCTTTCTATGCCAAAGTGGGCCAAGATATAACAGTGCAGAATCCTGGGCCTTGCAGCATGAAAATACAGGCTCCTTTCCCCTTCTATCCCTCAATCTTTTTTTTTCACTCGAAGCTCTAATAAGTCCAACATGCAGGAAGCCACCGTGGAAAGCAGTAAGGAGGGCTATTAAAACATAAACTTGAGGAAGACACAACGTTCAAATTGTAGCTGATGAGTTAAAAAAAAAATAGGACGTACTATTTTAATTTTGTAAGGGATTATTGGGAGCCTCCATGAATAAGTATTCATTTGGGCATGTTCTGAGTCTGTAAGAAGGCTGTACAACAATGCAGAATGAGCATATGAGGAAACTATTCCGCTTATACTTAATCAAATCCATTTACTAAAAATATGAAAAGCAAATGCTATATGCTCAAGAAAGAAACCAGGAGTGTTCATCTTTGTCAATAAGTTGGAGTTCACTGCTTGACGAGTGTATAGATTATGGAAGCAGTGACTTTTCATTAGTAAAATGAAAAAACCATAGGGATGGGACTATTTTCTTAGTCTCTGCCAGCCAAATTGTAAATGGACCTGGCTGGCATAAGCCCCAGATGGTATTATTCTTTAAGTATAAGAGATGATGCCAGTGCAGGTAGCAGTGTGTGAGGCTGTTCTGTTGACACAATCTTTGAGAACATTGTATTTTCATAACTATGGCATTTGCCTTCCAATGATGTTGGGAAATAAATCAATTTGTTGGGCATCTTTCTAACCTTTAGGTTGACAAACATCTCATTTGCAGGTGTCTAGCTAAAATAAAACAAAACAAAAACCAACTAATTCCACCACAGTTAAATACCTAGTTTGTAAGGAGCTACTTGATGAGCGCCACGGTTTTCCTGGCCTTCTCCTCACTGGCTAAAGGTGACACCTAGTATTTGTCATATATTTTGTACAGCAACAAAAATAATTTTGGTTTCCATTGGTGGCACATATTCACAGATATTCCAGACTTTGGTGCCTTTTAGTATTAGAATCCTGGAAGCTAATTAAATTGGAAGTATGACAAGGTAGAAGAAGTGGGGAAGAAGGGGAAAAAAAGAACCATTTGAGTTCTTCTCAACTGTAACAGAGGTACATTTTATATAAAAATGGTTTGAATGACTGTCTCAAAACCTTTCAGAATTGTACAAAGCATAGCCAATGGACTATTTAAAAGGCCAATGGGCCTGAAAGACTAAAAATAAGATGAACTATATGAGCCCATTTTAGTACTGTTCAGGTTAAAAGGAGAATTTAGGGGGTTATCTATAAAGTCAAGAAACAGAAACAATAATAAACTCTGGAAAGGATATGAAGCATTAAGATCGCTGAACAGTAGGCTGGTTAAATATCAAAAGTGCTATTTAGAGTCAGGACAACAAAATAATCTTAATGTGTAGAGATATCTCATATCAATAATGAATATTATAATTAATTCTCTAAAGACAAGTGATACTGTCCTTTACCAAAGGACATCACTGCTCCTCAAGGGAAGGTCTAATTCTAAGAAGTTTTAGTAATGTTCTCGGGCATATCAAGAAATAAAAGTAATGAAAAGAGAAAGAGAAGAAATATGCTTACCAGACTATCTAGTCCTCCTCCCAAGAGATCCACTGCTCCCATCTGCATGGAGGACACCTGTGGCACGTTGACTGGGGGACCAAGGTCAAGATTTAAAAGATCTCCAAGAAGGTCACCTTGAGAGGGGATAACCTGAGGCTGTTCCAGGTTAGTTGCAGAGGTGGTGCCAACAGGACTGTCACCTGCATCAGTGCTGCAGTCACACATACACAGAAGAGAAAAGACAAAAGTCAGTTCTACCTAGGACAAAATGACCAGACAACAAATGAGTGTAACTATAAAACACTGTAAACATTCAATTAATAAGTTGAAATAATTTTTTTCTCTAAAGAAAACCTAGTAGTTTTTGACAATCTTGAATATAGAGGACAAAAGAAAAAGAAAAGTTGAAGTACAGAAAACAAACACAAGCTAAGAAGAAAAATGATGCTTGTAATTAATCAGAGCAGATCTGAAAGGATACTAATAAAAGTAAGACACTTAAGTGTTTTTGGTTTTGGGGGCTGAGGTCTGAACCCCATGCTTTGAATGCTAAGCATAAGCTCTACCACTGAGCTACAACTACAGCCCAGAATCTTCACTTCTTAATCATTAGGTTTAAAGTAAGATGAGATTGGCCTATTCAGGGTGGTATGGCCAGTCAACAAGTTTCAAGTAAGACCAATAAGTACAGAAGTCCAACAGGCAGCTAAGGACAAGGAACTGTCACCCAAAGTTAGACAATAAGTTTAGGGTGAAATTCATGTACATATCTCAGGTGGGTTACCAGGGGGAAGGTATGGTGAAAAGAACAGGGGATTAAGTGTTGGCTCCACTAATTGCTAGTTGCATAATTCTAGGACAATTTTTCTGAGACTTCATCAATAAAATGATAACAATATTACTCAAACACAAGGCTCTACTATAGCAAGGATCAAACGTGAACATCATACAAATAGTAAAGCGTTGTAATATATCAGCAGTAGCTATGATTGGTAGATAAGTTAACTAAGAAAATACAAAGAGATGCACAGAAAGACAAAGTTCAGGACAAGCCTTTTGACAGAACCAAGATTAATGATCAGGGAAGAAAATGAACATGGCAGTGTAAAGATTAAAGAGAGGAAAGCAAATCAAGAAAGATGACTTAAAATGAAAAGGTAACACGGAAGCCATGGTGAAAAGAGGCCAGATAGAAGAAAGTCAAAAGGGAAATAATTTCATACATATTTGTCAAGAAATACGAAATCTTCAGAGTATTTTCTACATATGAAATTATGTCATTTAATGACATGTGCCATTTAAAAAATATGAAAGAATACAGGGATATATTAGCATCTCTAAATAGAAGGTAGAATAGATATATATATATTGTGCGTGTGTATATATATATATATATATATATATATATATTTACAATAAGCAAAGAATGAGGAGATATATGACAAATGATTTTTTAGATGCATGATGAACGTGAAAGAACATGATAAATAATTAGCAGAGATTTTTTTTCCCAAATGGGAAAATTTATATGAAAATTTTCCATTGTGAACTCATGGGAACCCCATAAATGTCATAAAGCAATATTTTTAAATGTCAAGGTTTTCTAAGTTAGACAGCTATTTACCACCTCAACCCCATAGAACAGCTGACAAGTATTAAGCACAGTAAGCACAAAAGTAGGGCACTTTCCCCTTTCCCAAGTGATTTTAAAAGATTACTGAAACAGGTCTAAAAGCATGTTTAAATTTTGACAAAAGGTAGAGTAAAGTTTTAAAATGCTGCTTTCGCTCATGTTGGCAATGCATCTCTTATTCATCTTATGGTGCAGAAAAGGTGACAGGAAGAAAGGAAGGCTGGAAGAAGTAACTGACAGACACATCATTTGCAGGAACGCACCATCCTCACTTATACTGAACTGTATTTCTCCTATATTTTCCTACACCTGTTAGAAACAATAGGCAAGCACAGGAGGGTTACCCAAAAAGGACCCATAAGGAATTGTGGTAAGGGAACCATAAGACAGCAATTTAAAAGCTACTACTCAAATAAAGATCGTATGTATAACAGTGCATTTCTTTCAGATAGTGTTCTTTTCTTGTGTTCAAGAAAGTTGTTTCTGTGTATTTTGTTTTTTTAACTTTCTTCTTCCCATTTGAGACCCAAAATTTATCAGAATGCTAGATTAAATGGCATATAAATATGTTTACATTGGCAAGTTAAAACAGAAATTCTATCCAGAAAAAAACTTGAAGCACAAGCAAAAAATACTTAGAAGTCAAATAGTTACATTCAGAGAATGTTAAAACATGGCTGCCTACAAGGAAAAACACCATAACTTATTCCAAAGCCTAATTTTATGAATTTACATATCACCTCAGAATTAAAAATCAAAGCACCTGGCCTTAAACTAAAGCCTCAGCTAAGGCCATAAAAGATCAAAAATCCTTTTCTTGGGTATTACTTTTCCCTTTTTCTCTGTATCTAGAGTCTGTTAAAATAGAGCCCAAAATGCTGATTATACCAATGTGTAAAGCAGTAAATTCTGCGTTTTGGTCAGACCTAAAATATATATTAAACAATGGCACAAGACATTCATTAATGGAGAGCCCATTATTCTGGCAGCCAATATTTTTTTTCTTTTCAGTGCTTAGGATCAAACCAGGGATCTTGCATGTTAGGCAAGTGCTTTACCACTGAGCTATATTCTGACCCCCTTTGAGAGCAAATTCTACTTAGATTTGAGGGTTTTTATAATTGATGAAAGAATCAGGTTCTGGCAAGCTTCTAAGTTACCTCTTGTAAGAATTTATTAGACTATTTCTCCTCCCTAATTAAAATTTTCAGATACCTACAAAGCAAGTGCTCCATGCTACCTGAAGGCCTATTCACAACCAAATTTCCTGATATGGCCAACTTAATTTAGTAAGAAAGGTACAAGTAATTGAAAAACAGTATACGTTAGAATTTAAGCTGTTTACATAAATAATCTGGCCAACATTATTTCATTGATAGTTTTATCCTATGAGAGAAGCAATATCTAACTATGCACTTAAGCCACAACCAAAACTATACTAAGGGATAAACAGCAAAACACAAATAGGCTCCCCCCATGTCCCACATTTTTAACTCTGGAAATATTTCAGGGCTCAACTCAGCAGAAACTTAAGCAGTTTTCAGACTTTATCAATTTAAAGGTTCTTCTCCATAACATTTTTCTGAAGCATTGCCATATTCCTAGATTGGAGCCCTGGGGAAGTATAGTAGTAGGTTTGCAAAATCCACAGCAAGTTCTTTCCCATGTTATAAAAGCAGGAGGAAGGCCAACTCGGTCCAAAAAAATTGCTCTTCATTCAAACCTACTTTACTTGCTTACCTCCCATGATGAATTGGCAAGTGTTTGCGATGAATCCCATGACTCCCTTCCACAAAAGCATTGGGAGGCTTATGATACACAGAGGCCAAAGAACCAATGTGGCAGATTAGCTCATCCAGCAGAGTTGGCTCAATAAGGTCAGTTTCCTCAGAGATTAGTGGCTTCTCAGACAAGACTACTTCTTTGGCTGTCACTGGGTCAGTTGAGAGAAGGCGCCAATAAATATAACCCCGGTCTCGAAGGTCAGGATTATCAGAATCCTAATGAAAAAGCAAATGCACAAAGGTTTAGATGGAACCATTCCCCATAAGAAACCCAAACTACGAGACTTACTGTGAAGGAAACATAGTTATTTACACAGATTAACTATTAAGATAATTAACTGATATTCTTTATAGTTTTAATATAGTCATAATCCTGCGATCATTAATATTTCAAGAAATTTAAATATAAATTGAGATGGGCTAGTCCTAAGGTTCAAATTCAAAGGGCAACCAGAAGAGGAAAATAAAGTCTAATCTGGTAAAAGTTACCTGGTTAAGAGGGACTTGGGACTTAAAAATAATGTTTTTAATTGCTATAAATAACAGGATTATTTGTAAATTTATTTTTATATATTTCACCCATACTTTCCTTTATCATTCAAATATTACCTCCTATGAATTCTTTGCAATGCCCTAGAAATAAAGGTAGAATATATGGTTCCTTAGTTAAGCAGCTCACAAAATATTAAATATTATAATGTGAAAGGAACTATTATTTATACAATCAAAAGATCATTAAAAAGCATGCAACTGAGTGCTTTCAAAAAAAAGATGACACCAGATGAATAGGGCTCTAGAAAAAAATCAAACCAAAAATAATTTCTCATATAACTACAGAGGTAAGTGACCATAATAAGTTATACTTAGTAACTATAGAGTAAATATAGATTAAAAATAAATAAGACATCTTAGGAATTTCCACAACAATGGAAATCATGAATACCAAACATAGGAAAGAAATAGAATCCATCAAATAGATTGGAACAGATATCTAGGAGATTAAAAATTTCATTTAAAGTATATATAGCAGAATGAGCCAATGACAACAGAATTTCAGATATGTGAGACAGGACTGCAGATAGTGATCATGAATATAAAGACTGCTTAAAAACAGTAAGTGACCACAAGAAGGCAATCCCACAGCTGCTAGATGATGCAAAGAGTAACAACGTAAGATTGATCAGTCAATGAAAAAAGCAGAAGATGGCATAAATGACATACAAAACCTGTTCACAGAAGCCAGAAAACTTCTCAAACAGGGAAAAAGAATTTGACATACAGGTGAGGTATATAAAGCTCCAATTAGCCATCATCAAAAAAACCTACACCAAGACATATCATATATAGTCAAGCTCCAGAAATTCAATACAAGAACAGAATATTAAAAGCTGTAAGAGAAAAGAACAAATTACCTAAGAAGGAAAGGATCAGAATCACAGCAGACTTCTCAACACAAACCCTCAAGTCAAGGAGAGCTTGGTGTAAAGCATTTCAAGCCTTAAAAGAAAACAACCTCCAACCCAGATTGACATCAAAGAGAACACAAAGACTATCTTTCAAAACTGATGGAGATACAAAATACTTCTATGTTTTTTTTTTTTTTTTTTTTTTTCAGAACTGGGGATTGAACTCAGGCCCTCATCATGCTTGCCAGGCAAGTGCTTATTTTACTGAGCCATCTCCCCGGCCCCACAAAATACTTTTATGACAAAGAATATCAGAGGAAATTAATGAATACCAAACTAGCACTCCAAAATGTTATGAAGGATATTCTAAAAAGATGTAACTAGGATTACAACTGTATGACTCCCAAAAGAATCCACCACTCAAGACAAGCAATTGAACAGAGGAGGACAAAAAGGAGCCAACAGGAAAGTAACATGACAAGGACAGGTCATGTTAGTCATAGTTGTAACCATCTATTTTGTGTATGTATGTATGTATTTAGTACAGGTTCTACACAGTCTCACTACATAGATCAGATTAGTAGTGATCCTCCAGTTTAGAGCCTCCCAAGTGCTGGGACTACAGGTACGCACCACCACGCCCAGTCTCAACTCACCCTGCTGTGCACCCAGAGTCCTGGGGATCGAACCTCAGGACCCTGCATCTGAGTAAGCAGATGCTTTAATCCACTGAGCTATTTGGCAGGCCCTGTAACAACCAATTTTAATGGTCTCAATTCACCAATCAAAAGAACCAGACTGGTGGCATGAATCAAGAAACAAGATCCAACAATATGCTGCATACAAGAAACACATTCAATTAAAAAAGAAATTCATAGACTGAAAGTCAAAGGCTGGAAAACAATACTACATTCCACAGGAACTCCCCACCACCACCAAAAAAAGCAGGGTAGCTATTTTATTTGCAGACAAGAGTGGATTTCAAACTAATACTGATTAAGAAAGACAAAAAATGTCACTACAACCAGGTATGCCTGTAACCCCAGCACTTGGGAGGCTGAGGCAGGAAGATTGTTTTGAGATTGAGTCCAGCCTGGGCTTCAATGTGAGCTCAAGACCAACCTGAACTGCATAACTAGACCCTGTCTCAAAAAAAAAAAAAAAAAAAAAACCAAAAAAGGTTACTACATCCTTACAAAGTGAATAAGCCAACAGGAACAGATAGTAATCATAAACATATATGCATTAAACACCTGCAGATATAACCAAAATATACAAATAGTATATAAAACAAATATTATATATATAAAACAAATGCTAATGAACATGAAAAATCAAATAAGCACTAAAACAATTACAATGGGGATCCCAAAACCGTGGCATACACAGACAAACTAAACAAAAAAAATCAACAATGAAATATTTGAACTGAATCAGAGTTTTAAACAAATGGACTTAGTAGATGTCTACAGTGTTTCATCCACAACATCAGAATACAAAGTCTTCTCTACTGCACACAAGACATTCTCCAAAACAGACCACATACTAGGTCACTGAACATACTTAAGTAAATGCAAAGAAATTCAAATTATCCCATACATGTCTTCAGGCTATAGTACAATGAAATTGGAAATCAATGGCAAAAGAAACCACAAGAACTTCATAAACATATGGAAATTATAGAACACCCTAGGTCACAGGTGAAAGTAAACAAGAAATTAGATAGTTTCTACAATTAAATGATAATGCTAAAACAATATACTGGAACTTACGAGATACAATGAAAGCAGTTCTACGAGGGAAATTTGTAATGGTGAATACATACCAGGAAAAGTGAGCTCAAACAAACAATTGAATGTTGAATTTTAAGCTTCTATAATAAGATCAAGTAAAGTCCAATGCTTGTACAAGGGAGGGAATTATAAAGAACAGAGCAAAAATTAATACAATGGAGACTAAGAAAATAATACAGGGGACCTCTCCAGGCCAAACCCAGGCATGTCACGTGAGTAAAACTCTCTGCTGTGCCCTCTGGACCCCTCCACCCCTCTGGAGTCCCCCCACCAAAGCCCGCCCAGTGAGTGAGAACTTCGGCCACGCACTTGGGACCATCCCAGATCCAGCCTAAGCCCAGGGCCAGCGAGTGTGTGGGAGAGCTTCCAGCTCCCCTGTGCCCATGGGACCTTACCAGACCAAACCCAGGCACACTGAGTGAGTGATAACCTCTGTTACGCTTTTGGGACACTTCCACCCCTCTGCAGCCCCCTACCCCAAGCCCACCCAATAAGTAAGAACTTTCGTGCTCTTGGAACACACCAGATCCAGTCCAAGCCCAGGCCGAGCGAGTGTGTGGGAAAGCTTCTATGCTCCCTTGCGCCACCTGGACCAGGGGCACAACAGAGAGGCACAACAAGTTCACTGTTGTGCCTGAGGGGCACAACAGGTGCACTTCCAAAGGCTGCAGCAGGAAGGAGCTGAGCACAAAAATTAAGACCCAAGCAAGGCACAACTGGATAAACTCAAGAGATCTGCACCCAAATTTCAGTAGGTGCTAAGGTTATAACTGCACCAAAGCTCTAACACAAAGGTCAGAGGTCAGTACTATACAAAATGACAGAGGAGGGGCAAAATGCAATCAGAGGCTGCGAGCCCACCTAGAACAAGTGCAGAGGAAACTAGCACAGAAGTAATGGGGAATCACACATCTGAAATGTCTCAATCAGTAGCATCTAAAATAAAGAAAAAACTGCAGAAAGGTATAGAGGAACTCAGATCAGAAATAACCTCTGAAATGGAAACAAACCTCTGAATTAATAGCATCTGAAGTAAAGAATCAAATGCAGAAACATATAGAGGAAATCAGATCAGAAATAATCTCTGTAGTAAAAGAATTAATAACTGATTCTCAAGAAAACACTAATAAAAAATAGAGATTAGAAAAACAATGGATTCCTTGAATGAGCAATACAGGAAAGAAATAGATCGCATGAAGCAGAGCCAATGAGATATAGAGGAA